TAATTACAATGATTTTACTTAGTTTTTTTTTTTAATTAATCCTGTGCGTCGGAGAATAGGACAGAAGTTTTAATTAAAAAATTTTTAAAACAGTCAGCTCTGCAGGACATCTCGGGATTTTTCATTGCTTTTAAGCTTAAAATGCTTTATTCTTAATTTGAGTTGAAAAATTTTCAAGTTAATAAATTATTCTTGGCTTAAATAAATTTTAATTGATTCAAAATAATTTTTATTTTTTTTTAATATAAAAATAAGTGACAAAAATTAATTTAGTCGACATCTAAAAATTTTTAGAATTTTTTATTGAAAAAATTAAAAAAATTTTTCATTATTCAAAAAATCATTAAAAAATTTTTTATTAATTTTTTATCATTGAAAAAATCATTAAAAAAAAAATTTTGTAAATTTTTATTATTAAAAAAATTATTAAAATAAATTTTTTTAATTTTTTGTTATTGAAAAAAATTCTGATTTGTTAAAAACTTGAAAAGCTATAAATGCAATTAGAGCTTTTTTTAATTGAATAATTTTATCAAAATTTTCTTTACCCAAAAAATGAATTTCAATATTATTTACATTTCCAATTATAAGTTTTGTCGTTTAACTTTTGACTGAAAGCTTAAAAAAAAAAAAGAGGTTAACTTAAACAGTATTAATTTAAATTTGAGTAAATGTAAGTAGAAGTAAATGAAATGAATGGTTTTTCGTTTATAGAAAGGGCAAAGTTGAAAGCACTTTGAAAAATAGTAAATAAGAGGTGAAAAAAATAAAGAAAAAAAAAAAGTAGAGTAAATGGAATTTGCGTTGACACGTAACCCATTGAAAGCAGTAGTTGCATAACGTCAAAGGATTTAAAGTTAGTTGAGCCGTGGAAATGAAAATGCTTTTTCCCGTGCAATCACTTGAGTCGCTGTTCCCTGTAAAAGCACTCGTAATATCAAGACTGTATAATGCTCGTGTCACACTATCATTGCCCCATTATGCCTCCGCAGGAAAAAACGATCTCGCAAATATACAGGTTTTTTATTCTAACTGGAATTAATCCGGAAAAATAAACAACAAGAACAGAGTAAGAAGAGCTTTGAATAAAAAATTTTAATGCGCCTGCAGAAGCTATTTCTAAGCAGCACATGTGTTTTTGTGCATAAGCTATTGGCTTTCACTTTGACGGGGTGTTTCTTTGTTTTAATTTTTATATTTATATTTATATATGGAGCAAGCTTGTCAGTCGACAGTCTGCTCTATAGAGAAAACTCGAGTAGACTTAGACCTGCTGTACACATTACTAAATAAAAGACTGCGATATGTAGATAAGTATTAAGGTCTACATAAATGTGAGCTGAATATTTTCTCCAGGAAGATATTTCTTGTGTATGTATTTATCTAAAAAGCCGTGAATTATACTAACAGAAAGAGATGTAGTCTATGTCATGAATTATTAATATTTCCTTCCTATTTTTCTGGAGAAAAAAAAAGCTGGAATAATAAATAAATAAATGAAAAATAATGGAATTGAAAGCAGATAAATTTCACGGTATTGTCATAAATAATAAATAATGAAAGAAAATAAATTTCTGGAGAGATGATTTTTAGTTTTATTATTTTATCATTTTCTTGGCGACTATTATATTGGTCGTAAGGGAAAATCAATCTAGTGGGATCGTGAGCGGAAAAAAGAGACAACGGAGTGTAAAATAAAAAGCAAAACACAAAAGAACCGATCGCCGTACTTTAATCCCATAAAACACCGACTAAAATCGATACCCTTTTTCCAGGGTTTTAAATTTTCTTCTGCATAAATATTCAGTTTATTTTTCGGAGCTATTTTTAATTAGACTGTGTCAATTAACAACGTTTCTACAGAGACGGGACAATGAAGACGAGTGACTTGTAATTGGGAATAGAATTAATGCAGTTAACATACCCGAGGAGCGGTAGAACGAGGAGGGGTGGTTTGTTACATTGGATGTGCATTCAGGAGGTTGTCTGTTTAAATGTGGCTTTACAACGAGTAGCGAGTAGTTACGCTATTCCGTACTACGTCTTTATATACATAATACATAAAACCATGTGTGTCTCATCTTTGTAGCTGTCATTGTCGCTGTGGTACTTCCACCTCTGCTCACCGCATTTGTAACAAATATTCATACTACACTCTACATAGGTAAGCTCGTAGCTCATTTACATGGCACGTCAGCTCAAAGTGTCGGTTAAATCTTGCCAGAAGAAGGAAAATGCCAGGGAGAATTTACAAACTCTGCATGTAGAGTTATTACTTAAGCTACAAAAAGTATCATATGATTATTTTCATTAAAATATCTTAAATTAAAAATATATTAAATATTTTTTAACTAAAAAAATTATTTTGAACAATTTTAATATTTTTAATTTAATAAAATAAATTTATTTCAATATTTTTATATCATATTATTATTTTAATAAAAATATATAAAATATTTTTTAACTAAAAAAATTATTTCAAAGAATTTTAATATTTTTAATTTAGTAAAAAAAAATTTATTTTAATTGTAAAGATTAAAAAAAGTCATTTTAATATAAATTATTTTGTCGAAGGTTAAAAGAAAAATTATTAAAAAGATTTGAATAAATGTGATACTTTCATGAGTTTGAGCGCTTTGATGTACAGATCGGGGGAATAAAAAGGAAAACGGATAGTAATAATCGAAGGGGTAAAAGTGGAAGTAGAAGAGCAGAGCTTTGAGAGGCAAAGTCCGAGTTATCAAAGTGAGCAAGCAAAAGAGCTTTAGCTTTAACATTTGATGAATTGAACCGAATAAAACCTCAAGCTCTGGCTCAAGACTTTACACTTTTTATCCGAAATATATATCGAGATATTATATAACATTTCTTACACTTTTTTGGCTTTATTATTATTCGCTTTCTGGAGCAAGTTTTCACGCTTCCCTCACCGTGACTCGGTAATATCCCGAGTCATTTTTCAGGGAAGGGAAATCGATCTGGAGCCCCGCGGTGTGACCCGAGCCCCGAGCTCCGGAAGCGATCAGTGCTCGTTCGAAAAGCGAAAGCTCAGCCAACTAGTTCATTTCTCTTTGAAATATCTATATCTATATATTTTAAAAGAGTAATATCAATAATAATAATAACAAAAAGGATTCCTCTCTTTCATTTGCTTCTGGAGGTGTCTGAGTGGTAAACTGACACGCGGCCGCTTGAGCTTGAGCTTCATCTCGATCATCAGAATGCCAGGAAATGTGAGCTAGGAAAATCTTGAAAAACGATCCAAAGTTACCTTCATTTCTCACCGGGATTCATAACCCAAAGCTCGCTCGCTACATCGCTCCCAACTCCATCCAAACTCAAACTAAAACTCCTGCCCCTGTCCCCTGCTCCGTCATGCTTTATTACGTCCAGGTATCGAGGCAAAAAATTTACCGTTTATCATTTTTCTACTATATTTCTCAGCTACAGCAAAAACCATTCAAAATTCCTGTATTATGAGCGTGCTTGAGCTTTCTTTTTTGCAAGATGAATAACTGCCCCCTACTGCTCGTCACCTTAACATGACAAAAGTAAGTAAGGGAGCTTGATGTTAAAACGGTATGAATAACAAAAACAATGTTCAAAAGTATTCATGAATACCCTATACACTGTTAATAAAGTAGTATTAGTATTTTTGCTCCACCTACGTGCAGGGAGCAAATAATAACTATAGGGTAGAAGTACCGTTTTTGGCCACCTTAGCACCGTTTTTGGTCAGTTAACATTTGAATTAATTTATAAAAAATGATAATATTATTACCATATTTTTGTTGAGTTTTAAAAAATTTATATTAAAACAAATCGAGTTTGTAATAGTTTATTAGTATAAATTCATTTCTATCGTTTATTTAAATAATAAATGGCCATAAACGGTACAATGGCCACAAACGGTACTTCTATACTACTTATTGCGAATAATAACGCAAATTATATACATTGTTAGCATATTGCTTGCATTTTCTCATATACTAGTAATCATTTTTATATTAATTCGTTCATTTAACCAGTATCAGTTCAAAATATGTGTTTGTCAGATTAAAAACTTTAGTAATAAATAAACGTAAGAATGGTTTATTATGAATGTATTAGATACGTTTATTATTAAGTAACTTATTAAGCATGCGTTTACAAACAGTGAAAAGAAAATATTTGATTACCAAAAGTTATTAATTTTCCGAATTTAACAGTTAATTGTCAGTGTTCTTGGAGATTTCTTCGAGCAAATTGCTATATTGTTGAACTTTGGAAAGATGATGAAGTAGCATAATAAAAGTAATCCAGATATCAAAATTTGTAGTTCCGACCTCATTCATACTAGCAGTTTGCTGTACATGATGGTCTTTTACATCGGGCTGTTCAACAGATTGCGGTGTCGTCTGATTCTTGACAGTTATCTCTGAATCATTTCCAACGTCAATCGCACTATCTGATAACGGTAATTTCGTAACTAGTTTCTTCTTTGAAAAAACAATCGGCAACCGAGGCATGGCTCTTTTTTTGGGATGCATATTAGCAGATTGCTGTTGCTTAACAAGTAACACTTGAACACTTGACGGCGGTAAAACTGAAAAAGATATTCCTTTAGTTGAGAAGATTTCATCAGTCTTATCTTCTAACATCGGAGTGACATTTTCGCGTGATGTCGGTGACTTCTCCCCAGGCCCATTTTGTAGCAGTTCGGCTACCTCAGTGTCAGTTTTTGATTCTGATGGTGAGTTTTCATCAGTATCATCCTGTAATATCGGAGTGCCACTCTTGCGTGCTGTTGGTGACTTCTCATCAGGTTTATTTTGTGTAAATGCGGCCGCCTCAGTGTCCGTTTCGGATCCTGATGGTAAGATTTCATCAGAAAAACTAATCTGAGACAATGTCTTGGTGTCGATTTCGGGTGTTCCTTTTGGATTCTCGGCAGGAGCTGTTTTGACACGCGATTCCCTGAACTCCATTCGATCCAGCAATTTCTCGAGTTTTGTTTTTTTTTATCGCAGGAAAGGACGCCGATGGTATTTTTCTATGAGGAGCAGAAAAGCCCTCGAAACCTTTCGCTTTACTTCTGTCACTCTTGCAATATCCTGGTGAAGTCTCACCAGACACATCTGCCACGGACAGTACATCCATGTTTTCTCTGATGGAATTCTCTGATGAAGAATTCTCAGAAGACTCATCTTCCACGATTGTTGTCTTGCTGCGGTCTCAGAAGGATCATATGTATTTCTTCGTTTTTTAATAACAGTTTTCTCTATGCGGGGATTTTCTATTATAGTAGGATTTACGAATAAACCAGAAATATCTTCACGAATTGATGTTTTTGGTGCGTTCGAGTCATCCTTCACCTTAGAGCTTTTAATTCGGATATTAGCGGTCTTTTTTCCTTTTATTTTACTAGGATCTTTGGTCCCATTTTTATCCAAATTACCGTCACTGGATTGTTCGTTATGGTTATGATAAAGCTGTTTTAGTTCACTAGTAAAACTTTCATTTGGAGTTATTATTGACGATTCTGCTGATTGACCCGGTGAAGATGTCACACTAGTCGAGGCTCCATGATTCTCCTTCTCCTTACTCTGAGGAAGACGACGAAGCTGAAAGTCTTTCGTCTTGGAAAAAGACTTATCGACTCGCAGCTTGAACGCATTTAATTTGGATTTATAAGATCTGCTACCAAATTTCTGTTGCTCACTGGGTTCTCTAAATTGACTCTTATCAAGACTCCATTTTTCTAACCAGGTAAACGTATATCGGTGATGATAACTCCCGAGAATTGGTATACTATAAAGCGGGACATCAGCTGTAAAAAATAAAATTTCAAAATTTAATAATAAATAATAATATAATTAAATAAATTACTTATTATAAAATGTAATAGAATATACACTTACTTTTCAGGGACACCATATATTTTATAACGTTAGAAAATATAAAATCACGCAACGTGGGATGTGGTTCAACAATCTGAGTAAATGATGACTCGATCCTTCGTCTTAATGTCGCATACGGTACGGTACCTGTCGAAAATGACTTATTCAACTCATCTATATAGAAAGAAGACAAATGGCTAACGAGTGCTTGTAGCACAGGTAAATTAGCCTTTACTTCGGGTGCCACCAAGATGATATCAACCTTCCTCTGTTTGAGTAACTTCAAATTTATGTCTATAATTTCAGTGTAATTAGTGACCATAAAATCATACGATGACTCGTACGTGTCATTGTATTTGCAACCTGAATTGATGGCAATCAGCATTTCTTTCTTTGCAACTTTGCTTAGATTTTCTAGCGGATCATCCGCATGGAGTTCTTGTACATATGATAAAAACCGCCAATATAGGCTGCCATTTCTATATATGGGACCGGCGGTTGTGTGAGGCTGAAGCAATTAATACGATTAATTAATAATTGATTAATAATTTTTTAAATTAATTAATAATTTTAAGTTTTTAATTTATTAATAATGTATTAATAATTAATTATTAATTATTAATTTTAATTTTAATTAATTAATCATTTTTTTATGGAAATAATTATCACAAAAAAATAAAAAAAAATTTTAAAACTATAAGTGAAAATTTTCAAAAATATTTTTTAGTTGTAATTTAATGAGAGAAAAAAACACAAAAAATTAAAAACGTCGGCTAACTATATCATTATTAAAATATTAGGTATTAAAAAGTGCATAGATGTTGAGGTTATGTCAAGCATCTAGTAGGTAAAAATACGGACGATAAAATACTTATTCTAAAAATTATATGAATGTCAATACAAACCATATCAGGCGTATATAATCTCAAAACTTTTAGTAGATCGGATTTCAAAGAACTCTTGGGTTTAATTTTAAATTTAAACAAACTCATGGTTAACAATAAATGTTAGAACTCGCGGACAACAATGGCGGTTATGATTACGCAACGATGAGGTACTCCCCGCTCAAGCATATACTATACTCTAGGTTATAGTGTGCACGCGCAAGCTCGCGCATGCGTGGACCCCCCCTGTCCCATTCCTTTTCCCTCTCTCTTCCCCTTCCACTACCGGCCTCTCAGGCCCGATACTGTTTTGATGGTTTTTATTATTTTTTAATTTTTTTTTTCCATCACATATTTACTTATTTAAATAATAGTCACTGTACAACAGGAATTTTCAAGTTTATAATATTTTTAATATAATTGTTTTTTAGAGAGACGCTTCATTTGAAGACTACTAAAATATTTAAATTCAAAAATTAGTGAGTAAGTTTTATAAGGTATTTGTTACTTAATTATGTAAAAAGACTAACAATCAAAATAAATAACCTTTTTCAAACCAAAAAAAAAAAGCGCATGCGTGGAGTTTCAAATTAAATATATTTTCATTACTTATAAGAATTTTTATAATCAAAATTATTATTTTAATTTTAACCCGTATTTCGAAATATTCGTAATAAAATAATAAGAATATATGTCATGGTGACATCTTACCAGCAGTATATGAAAGGCGTTGTAGGAATGGAATAGAATCAACCTTAATTTAAACATACTGGTAATTCTACCAGGGGTGACTATCCACCTACCTAAATTATGAAGTGTATTTGAGTCTGTTTTTATTGTAGATATCTCTTGAAAATTGATCAAAACGAATATTTTCCAATTAAAGCGAACACATAATTATGTAATAAAGTTATTTAAAATGAAATTTATCGAGCACGAACGATAGAATAAATGTTTAAAAAAAATATAAACACCGGATATTATGTAATAATTAATGAAATGAATTTTTTTCATATCAAATAGATAAGATAAGATAAGATAAGATCAAATAGAATCCCTAAAGTATCTAAAAATCTTTATTAAATATATAAAAATTTATTGTATCAAATATTTATGATAATTTGAATTAAGAAAAAATTACTTCCACCAAGAATAGAATTTCTCGAAAAATTTTTTCTTCGGTCAACCGAAAATTTTCTTGAGCCAAGAATTTTGTTCTCCAGTCAAGAAATTTTTCTTTCTATGTAGCAACTTATGATAATACAATGTTATAACGCTTGATTTGATGTAAGTGAGAAAACGGATGTTAGCTTGATCGCCAGGATAGTTAATTGACAGAAAAGTCACGATTTAATTCGTTTTCATTCGTGTAAATTAATTAATTTAATAGAAAAAATTATTTCAATAGGATCGTTTTCATTATTTTCGGAGGACTAGAATTTTATTGTTCAGCAAAAGCTTACGGGTGAGAAGTATAACAAAGGTTACAAAGGGGGAGTGTGTTTTTCGTCAGAAAATGTCAGTCCTCAGACTCCTCAGATTACACCAAGATTTAACGTAATCTCGGGAGTTCTCTTAGGCTCTTATCTTTTGTTATACAACAGTTCAGTTGATCTAATGAGATTCTATCCAAAATCTCCAGAGGGTTAATCCTGGCTCACGGATTACTGGCCTCGGTGACCAACAGGTCAAAACATCCACTCAATAATAACTCTATTGCAAATGTCAGATAACTTTTTTTTAATTGAAATTATTATGACATTAATTCAAAGAGTAATATTATTTTTTTTAATTATTTTATCATAAATCAATTCAAAAATTCTTTATAAATGATTGAAAAATTTGTAAATTCTTTATTTATTTCTTAGAAAATAATATTGAAAAGTTTCAATATTTTGGATCAAGACAAAAAATTTCTGAATTAAATAAAATTTACTTAAACCAAAAAAAATTACTCAAAGAATTTTTCTGCTTAAATCAAGAGCTGAAATTCTTTAAAATTATTTAGTTGATTTAATTTAATTTTTTTTTTTTTTCTGTACAAAGGTATTAAAATTATTTTTATATGCCAATTTTTCATATTAATTCACAAATTTTAATCTCTAATTTAACTTAAAGGTATAAAAAAGGGCAATAAAGGTACTTTGAAGCCAAAAATTGTGAAGCTCAATTTCCAAAAAATTATCAAAAATAAAAATTTCTATAAAAAACGAAAAAATTCCCAAAAAAGCGCGTTTAGATTTTTCGTGTACTCATTTATTCACTCCATCAGCGAGAATATAAGTTTTGTCTGTGACGTTTCTGAGAAAAGAGGGTGTAGGTATTAGAGGGTAAAGTTGAAAGCCGGCCAAAAATTACAGAAGCTCCGCTTGGAGCAGAGGAAAACTTGGGAAAGAGAAAAGGAAAAGTTCATAAGGTACAACCCGTTTCTGATGTTAGCTTTCTATATCGGTTCACCTAGCTCTCGTCTCATCTTCTCTATTTTGTCCCAGCCCCTTTTCCCTCTGTATACTCCCACGCCGAGTCACGTGTAGATACAAACACTCAAGGAGTACCCGCGAGATGTTTGCCTCTTCTCTACCCTCAAACTCTGCTTCTACTTCTAGTATTTGAAACTCCTTTATTTTCAGCGCCTTTTCCACTTGCCATTTTTCTTTCACAATTTTTCGTATGTGTCGCCACATATGAGCACACACACATTTTCATCCTTGTATAAATGTCTGTTTGGAAAATATATTTAAATTGGCGAGAAAATGACACTATGTATATTATCTGCACCGACAATATATTCCCCATTCGTCAGAATTTGAATAAAAAAAAGCTTCTCTTTAATAATAAATACACAATACATATAAATGTATTTCATTATTTTTTAAAACAAATTTTAAACTATTATTTTTCATTCGCCAGCATTTTTCGTTATCAAAATAAATGTAAAAAATAAAAAAATACTTCCCGAGATAAATTTCACCCACTAACGATATTTCATATCTTGTTTACTATTTTTTTTTTTTTATATATATCGAAGTGTTTTTATAAAAAGACTTTTATATATCTTTTTTTATTTTTTCAACCAGAAATTCTGATGGCGGATCCGATGTGGGTGCTTACGTCACGATACAAAAGCCGCTTTAGCTAGAGAAACTGAGACACGTAAACAGACGGCGATAGTGAGTGAATAAAAGAGTTACTTGCTAGAACGAAATTGTCGCAAAAAGTGAACTATATACATTAAATTCAATGAAATATGTCCGCGTGAGTGTCCTTTTATATAGAATGTGACGAATGTGCTGGCTGCGGTTCTGTTTCTGCTGAGAGTTACTCGATATATCTCACGTCGAAAGGAGCTAAGTGCTCGGAAACTGCTACTACTACTACTACTACTACCTCGATAAATATTTTCGACGTAACTGAAACCGAGTTTGACAAGTCTTTTTGATTGATCGATATTTAAGATAATGGTTTAGTTAATTTTATCCACTCTTCATGAAACGAAAGTAGCTAGTGCACGTCAGATATTTAAAGAAACTTCAATGACGATATACTGATCGAAATTTATTTATTTGATATAACTGTTTTTTTAATTTTTTAAATTATTCATTAACAATTGATAAATCTATATTATTAAGAGGATAAGAAACATTTTGTATCGAGGATAGTCAATTTATTATGATAAGTATTTAGGCTGCTTTCGAAAATTCTCCATCTCTAGATACATAATTAAGAAATAACCTTGGATCTTGTGAACTATTGACATTTTTAAATTAAAGATATAAGATCATCCCGGTATTACACTCATCGAGACCTTTCATTTGAGTAACCACATCAATTTTTCATATTTTTCATATATTTATATATATTATATATATAAATATATGAAAAATATATCCAAAAGGCATGTGGGTACTCAAATGAAAGCTCTTGATAAATGTAACATCAGGATGAGCTTATATCGTTAAAATATATATTACATCATTAAAAAATGACCTTGGATCTTGTGAACTATTGACATTTTTAAAGATATAAGCTCATCTTGATGTTACACTCATCGAGACCTTTCATTAGAGTACCCACATCAATTTTTCATATATTTTATATATTTATATATATGAATATATGAAAAATATATAAAAATGCATGTGGGTAGTCAAATGAAAGCTCTTGATGAGTGTAACATCAGGATGAGCTTATATCTTAAAAAATATCAATAGTTAAGAAATTACAATGAAACTTAACAAAAGTAATTATTCACTAAAGCAAAATTTTATTTATTAAATTGTTAAAAATTTTTTTATCAATGGTTAAATTAACAAAAGGAAAAAGGTCAACATCTTCTCTATCCTCAGAAGAGATCCTTCGCAAAGAAGCTATTCCAAGAATGCAAATACATATTTCATTTGAATAGAAACGTCAGGTCCTTTTAAAAATATCCAATGACGACACAAATAGTATCTCCACTGTGTGGAACAAAATTTATGATCCTTAGGGATGGATGTGTGCTCTCGAATCCTTCCCCAAAAAACAAGATACTCATGTTTTCCTTCGTTTATAATTTTTCATGTGTAAAAAATCTAAATGCGGGGTTGTTGGCTTCCTTTGGCTTCTTTCTCTCTGTTGTTGTATTTATACTTTAGTGAGGCTGCATTTACCGGAATATTAATAAAATAGCAAGTGGAGTGAATACGTGGAGAAAGCTTTTTCCCTTTTCCTCCATCCCGTATCGCCTCAGCTTTCAGGCTTTTCAATTTACTACGTTTTCTGCGTATTCTTCCCAGCACTATATTACATTTAGACCGCTCTGCATTCAATATTCTATTTTGTACAGTGTACTGGTATATTAACCGAAATATATGCACAGATGCATGGCAAGTAGCACCCACTATACAGGCTCTTAAGTAACGGAGAAGTGAATATAAAGAAGCGAGAAGCTTTTACCATCCCCGTAAATGTCAATCCAATTTATTAAGTCACTCAAAAGGGAATTTGACGACAATTTCGCAGATTTTGACACACTGATTTTTATTTCCTCAATTCTTCCCGTCTATTTCATTTCGTTTCATTCATTTAATCCCATTTTATCTGAAATTTATTGTCAATCTGCAGTGTAG